TTCCATTCGGAATTGTAGTAACTTCATTGAATGCGAAGTGGCCTTTACAATAACTTGCGAGGGCCAGCTGATGTAAAGTCAATTTTCTTATCCTCGCAGACGAATGTGGTGCGATCTCGGTGTCATGGCAGATAGCAGTCAGCGGAAAAAGCAAGTTCGAGTCCCGCCTCGGAGCAAGGCTTGCCTAGAGCTCAGCATTCTTGCGATAGTTTTCAGAGCGCGAACTGCAGCGCTAAAAGCAGTCATTGATTCGGGTCAATGATTCGGGTCATCATAAGTCACAAATCTTTGATAAGTCGACACTCTATTGTAGCCATTACCTTGTCCAGCTGAGGCGCTTTCGAATCCATTAGCCCTTCTCTAACAAGACTAACGGCTTGATTTGCCCGAGCTGCAACGTCGTCGCCAATCACAACATTCGTAATCTTCTCTGTCAATGCCTTAATCAGAACAATTGACCGCATTCATGTTACTGTGTATGCAGGACATACTGCCAATGTATATTAAGAATAGCTACCTTCAGCGCGCTTACAGCTGACATGGCACGCATCGCGTTGTCAAGAACTGCTCTGAGTCGTATCCGATCAACCTCCCAAACGGCTAACGGAATTGGAGCTCGTTTCCAGGTAGATGGCAGATCGCTGTCCACTCCAATCAGTATCCGCAGAGCACCCAGCACACGACCAGCTGTATGTGCTGTTTCCTGTGTTTCACCCACTCCGAGTCGCGGGATAACTGCTCCCCATGATGCCACCGCAGCTCCACGACTATCCTCGCCCTGTAGTTCTTATTTTGTTACAGCAAATTGGAAAAACCTAAACTCGGGAAAATTTCAAAGTATATTAATGCACCCACAAAGGCATCCAGCATCACTACAGGTACATCCACTCTCAATGATGATCAATTTCAGAACAGGTACAGACGATTCCACCGACTGCAGCTGAGAATCGACCTATGAAAAGAATCAGTGAATTTGTCAAATATTCGGACCTCTATAGAAAGGCTACAATTGCAACTTATTACGTGAGAAACTTGTCGAATACAGTTACCTCCTTCAGTAGGCGTTCGACTCCCTGCTGTGGGAGAGTTGATCTGCCCTGTACATCTGTTTCGAGAAAATTCGATATCTCAAAAGTCCCACAAATGTTCTGAGCTGACCTTAAAGATCAGTAGACAGCATCAAGAATTTCACAGCTCATCTTGCAACTAAGAAAGGCATTGAGTGCTATACCAACTTCAATTGTACCAAGTTGTTGGCATCAAACAGAAAGCCAAATACTGAATGTTCGCCTCTCGGCGCTTAAATTGAGAAATAAGTGCTCGTAGTAGAAAATAGCAACTTTTTTTCGGTTCCCAGGGCCATGGAGAGGAAGTGAGACAAGGCCGAGAAAGCCGAGTGGTTAAAGACAGCTCCCGCGATAAAAGTGTCACGAAAAAATGCTTTTCTATCATGAAACAGTGCTGATAAGTAATTCCCCAAAGAAGATAAAAAAAAAGCAAGAAGAGTCCTCAAGAACACCATAAATAAAATCGCTCCCTGACAGTCACGCCTCCCCGCGGTCTCTGTGCGACCCCTGGCCCACAAATCCCTTTACCACCTCTCCCAGTAGTGGATATCATCCGATGCAATGAAAAGAATTATGAAAAACAATAATAACACGGAAAGAAAAACTCTTGAAAAGGAAAAGAAACTGTCAAAAACTCGGCGTCCAAATTAAGGGTTACGGTAGCGTGCATCTTTCAGTGTAGTGTAGTGCGTCGAGCTTTTGCACCACGAAAATCGGGTCGCTCGTGATTTCTAGCCTTTTACCTTTGGCGAGATCGCTCGTGATTTCTAGGCGTTTTACCTTGCGAGATGGGTTGGAGTTGACTGCATGTGCTCCTAATGAATAAAATGTAATGGGAGAGCAGAATCATTCATTGGCACGAGCGCGGTCAGCAAAAAGGGCATGCAATTCCGATTAATGCCCGCCGCCCCAACAAAGAACAACTGAGCGGCCCTCCGTCAGAGGGCATCTAGCAAGTGGGCGGTCCAACTGAGCGGGCATTAGAACTAGCCCTTTCAGCGCGGGGCTGTACTACTTGCACAAGGAAGGACGACCATGTACTACTCTTGCACGGGGACTGTCTTTAAGAATGTAGTCTCATGTCTTCACCTTTACGAGCCGCAGGTTCAATCCCTGCCGATCCCTGCCTTACGAACCTGGATTTTCGTAACATTTCGTAGACGTTTCGTGAAGACTTCAATCACATCCATGATGTTATCCGATTGAATTGTATTTGGCGATGCGTTGTCATGAACGTGTACGACCTGCACGATGTAGTTCATGGATAGTGGTGCTGAATCCCATACAAGGCGCTTCTGGAATACCACAACTCCATATAATCCTTTCGAAATAGGGAAACGACTGCCATGTTCATATTCGATTCGACTATTCGGCTTTAGGCTAAATTTCTTTAACATACAACAACGACAAAACCGAAGCCAACCTGATGAGACGGTGAGAGCGCCGCAATCTGCCACGGTTCCATCCGCTCTCTCATGTCGCGTGTCACTATCGTGTTCAGATGGGGAACGTCTACCATGACCTTAATTCAACACCATAGAACGGTTCACCTAATGCCTCACTCTTCGGAATTTAGGCTGTGATTGAACTTGTCTCCAGTACAGCGGTACATCTGGCCAGAACTTTGGCCTAGGTAGTATTCTGACGCTAAAAGGAGGAATATTCACATCTGCGTGCAATGAAGCTGCCTTCGCGCCATAGGCGCCGAATTCGCGGGCCAACTCTAGCGCCGGCTTCAATAGCACACGCATCAGGAGCTTTCGCGCCAGGCAAATGTGATGTGTTCGTGTTCAGGGAGACAGACTACCCCTCGAGACATGTTTTCAGCTTTTTTTCCTGTTCTGAGATGCTTTGGCGCTGGCGCCTGTGAAGCAGTAGCCATGCTCCCGAGCCGCAGGCTTAAGGGGGATCTACCTACGGAACTTCAATGAAAATCAGCATTGAATTTCGAGGGCAGAGGTAGTATAAAGCTAACTTTACCTATCATATAACTAGACTAATAAAAATAAGGAACTTTTGTGCCTCTTTATGGTCTAAGGACTGAAAAGGATCCCCTCAGCAGCACCAAAGGTCAAACTGATAAAGTCCAAAGCGACTAGTTAGCAAAGCTATGAGCCAATGTTTCGCAAAGTTCCGTATAACACCGTGTCAAGTTGATTATTCTACTTTGTAATCACTGCCACAGTCTCACAAAGTACAGCAACCGAACACGACGCGTTCAAGGATAATGCAGGCTTCTTATGTGCAACCTTGATGTAGCAGCTTGGCTTGGTGGGGGGGGGGGGATAAAAGGCATGTACAGGCCACCTTGTGAAAACCTGTAAATTTCTGCAATCAAAATAGCTGTGTACACCACTCCGCAGGTTAAAGCTTACGCGGTAAAACTGTCAATTACCATGGACTTGAAAAAGGAACCAGCAGATGTCTGAGATGCCCTCCTTATTTTCACCACTTCAGCCAAACAGCCCGCCTTGAACACTCAATTGTAAAAGATGAAATAGTTGATGATTGTGATGTGGTTCTCCTTCCTTACCTCCCAGATGAGAGTTTGGAGCCTGTCAACCAGCTTCTCCTTCTCTGATGTATACTGAACAAAGGCCCATCTCCCACGACCAAGAAAGACGCTAATAGCCGAGAAATGTGACCACTGTTCCGGGGAAACCACAGCGATGTATAC